CTCTCTCTCTCTCTCTCTCTCTCTCTCTCTCTCTCTCTCTCTCTCTCTAACACACACAAGAATCTAGCACATTCCCAGCAATGACCAAAGAGAGTTTATATAATTAGAAGTGGTAGTAACATCATTTTTAATAATCAATCTTGAGTCAACATATTGACAATAGTCTCACAAGAGAAATACACTGAGTTCCTGAAATGTGCATTTTGACATTTGCACATTGAAATGAAATATCCTTGTTTACCTAGCATTCAGAAATTAGATGGTTGTTTAAACAAAAGTCCTTTTTAATACTGAGACTCTTTTCATTAATGTATCATTTTCATTAATGTGATTATTGAATAATAAAAATGTTCTAATTTGAGGATGAAGTTTCATGATTTTGGTCAGTTTAAATTGTATCATTGAGGTTTATCTTTTATAAAAGGTCCTTGAAATCAGAATTTTCCAAAATGTTTACAGTAAATATTTGAGCATTTGCTAGGAGACAATTTGCTTTTTAACTTTGTTATAACCATTTACAAAATCATATTGAAACCGCTTCCAAACATTGAATTATCTGGCTATATTTTGTTAACTTAACCAATTAAGTTAAATTAAGTAAAAAAATAATTTAACAAAGAAATAAAACAAATAAGCAAATCATACAGTCAAAGCATTTGTTTGACTATAAGTGGACAATTTGGTTGATTCAACTCATCAGTCAATTTTGTCAAAACATGTGTGCACAAACATAGATTTAATTGGGGTCTTCACTGTCAAATACATGATTTAGAATCAGAAACTACACAGTTACAAAGTCAACCAGAATGCGGAGACCAAAATTTTTCATACATCTCCTTGGTCCTTATACAATTATTCAGTCTGACAATTTTTACAGAGAACGAGTTAATTTGTAGATGCTTTCTACCATTTGACATATAATTGTATTTGTATCATACAAATTGTATTTGTAACCCAGCAATAAATTACATTTCTAAATGATGGATGCTTTGTTTAAAGGAATGTATTACTGGAAACTATAACATTGTATAATTACCTATTTAAATTACTTTTAATTATATTGTTAAGGCTTTAATCAGCAAGCAAAGTCCAATGAAAAAAATATACTTAAGTTAAAAGTTTTGTTTTACCATACTTTTATCATGTTAACAATGAAGAAAATTTGGTTTCTAGAGAAAACGACTGAGACACAAAAAATGTCAATAATTCAAATGCAATATAGTCAATGAAACAGTCGATTATATGTTGTATCGGGTAATAACACTGCATTGGGCATGGTGAAATGGAATCAGAAAACTAATTTGGATCAAAGGCATATTTTTGAGCTCCCTCACACTTTTATCCCATGAGTTAATTTGTTATAACAAGGAACAGAGTGTCAACTATTAGGTGTATAATAGATGTTAGCTGAATACATTGGAAACGAATTAGATGTGAAAACTGGTAACAGTCTGGTAGATGCTGCACCTTGGAACTACCTACTGACCATGGGTCTAAGAGATTCTCTGCTAAAAGCAACCAAAACCTCAGCAAGTGCCCAAGCTCCACATCAAACAGATGCTT